TCACTTTTTCAACTCACTCACAATCCTCTCGCCTTCCCCCTTTCCAATATTCAAATTCTGTTGTTGCAGCTCTCTTGAATCCTTTCCAAATCTCTTATAGATAAAAATAACGTATCGGCTTTTGCCTTTCATCATTTTCTATCAATATCTAAAACAAAAAAGGGGTACTTATCGTTTTGAAAGCTATTTTCATCCCATATAGCCTATATTGATGATTGAAAATATTCTAGTGCAGGAGAGATTTTCTCGAAAATATTTTCTTAAATCCAGGGATCCGATTAGAAAATCTTGAGGGGAATAGAGATGAGAATGGGGAAAAGAAAAGGGAAAAGAAAAGGGAAAAGAAAAGGGAAAATATGGGGATAAGAAGGGGATTTTGGAAAAAAAAATATTTGAAAGGGTAAAAAAGAGAGAAGCTTTCAAGAAGTTTTCAACCCACATCTTTCAAAATCCAAGGAGAATGAGTACTGTTTTAGTGCAAAAGCACAAGTTGTGTGTTCGGGGGATAGAGGACAACTTAGAGAAGGGCAAGTCTGGAGATGAAATCGTTGAATTATTTGTAGATATCGGAATATAGTAGATTCTGAATTGTTTTCATACTCAAGTGCTTTCGGACTCTTATAAATAGGGCGAGATTTGCCTGGAACTTTCAGAGTTTAGTTTGGAGATGGTCAAAATGGTAATACTGTTTGGAACTTATTTAGGTATATGATTACTGCACAAAAACTTTAAATTTATCCCGTTTCTCAATCCAACTCGCCGATGAGTCAGCCGAGAATAGGGAAACGATCGATTTGCTCTTGCTTGCTTGCGCGGAAGACGATTCTTGCCAATTTCGATGAGAAAGAGCACAATGATAAGAGAATAAAGATAACTGGAAAGGTTTATGAAAAAACAACAAAACAACAGCACAATAAAACCAAAAAAGAACTTACCGTAAGTCCTCGAACAATAGAACAGCATGCCGCACATCCGCACGAAAATGTGTTTTCTATAGGATTTTTACGTTTGAATAGCCGATTTACGCAGAAAAATGTGCTAAATCCGAAAATAAAAGAATTTTTGAAATCCCTTCGACAAATTTTTTAAAAATCGAGTTTTGGTGATTTTACTGTGTTAAATTTCAGCCGTATTTTATTGTCAGAGCAAAATTTTGGAAACAAAAGCCTAAAACAAAAATGTAAACCGCAAGTTTTATTCTACGGGTCTTTCTGTATCTTTTGATACCAAAAACATAAAAATTGATAAACCCTATAAAAAGTTATAACCTTTAGAAAATAAAAAGGTGGTTTCTGAGTTATGGCACACTATATTGCGGATAAATTACCGTAACCCGAAAGAGAAAAAGAGCAAAATTAAACTTTTTTTTGCTACAATCAAACCATTTTCGCTTTTTTTCTTCTTTTCAAGATGATGTGTCGATCTCTGCGGATTTAAGTGAAGTTGTTTTTTTATGAACACATGCTTTGCTTTTGAATTTTTCAGGCCTCGACAGGAATTAATCCAAGAAAGGAATGAGCGCACAGTTTGCAACGGTATATGTTAAACGTTTTGCAATAACATTTTAAAGTTTATTGAAACAACAACATCGAAAACAAGATTAATTAAAATGTCCCAGGTCAGATAATAAAACGTTTAGAGCGAATTTTTGTGCGGTATATTTTAGCACTTGTAGTTTTTCTCCACGTTTTATTTTCTCGCAAATTTGCCCAAAAATTGAATGCATCGACTCCAAACCTTCTTCACCCATATTGGCTAAGCACTTGTTAGTTTTCAAAAACTGGGTAGATGATGCAATCCAACATGAGCTTTTACTGAACGTGTTCCAATATCGAGTTCTTCCATTTTTCCCAGCAGACTTTTGCATGTATCGATTGTTGAGCTAATCTCTTTATCGGATAGTTTCAAATTTGTCACTGAAGAGATTTTGCAGAAATCATCGAAGGCTTCTAAGCATTCACATAGACGTGTATATCGTTGGGAAATTGTAATAGCTTGGAAGTCGAGCCTATGCAAACATAACTTTTTCAACTTGAGTCCATTCAAATCTTCAGATTTAAAGGATTTAGAAAAGCCAAGGCGTAGAGTCAATTCTTCAAACGCGATTTTGCTAGCCATAACAAGACACTCGTTTACTTCAAAAACCATGGCTTTATAAATTAAGTTTCCATAACCGAGCTTTAGATGCAGAATTGGCGGAACACATTTTTCAAGCTCGAATGGCACCTTTCCTGCCTTCAAGATCTTTGGTACAAAGTTTCAATCTTTCCTCAAAATTTTTTAGTGTTCGCCTTTCGTATACGTTTTGGTCCATCTTATCTTTTTGCCCAGGAAGTTTTCGGGTTTTGATGGCTTTGTAAGAACACCAAATGCATGGATAAGATGAAGCATTGGACATGCCGTATGCAGACGCAAGAAAACTAAGGTCGCCTCCCATGAAAAAAGTCCCAGGTAAAGTTGATAAATCAGTGAAAAGATCTTTTAGCTTGAGCAGCTCTTCATTCTTATCGCTTCCAAACCAAACGGCAAGAATCAAATGGTTGAAGCACGATTGAACTTTAACACTCTTATCCGGTAAAACCAAAGTGATTTTAGTTGAATCCAGGCCTTTATCGCACATCAAAAGGTACCTTTCTTTTTCAGAATTTGGTATGTGGCTTAGCCGAAATCGAACAGCTTCAATCATATTTTTCAGTTTAACAACGCCTCCTGTGATCTCGTATTCAACCTCTTTGCTGAGTTTTTCTCGCAATTGCATCATCTTATACTCACTAGCAAAACACTTTGTAACTCGACTATAACATCTGTGTGCTTCTCGGGAGATTTTGGATTTGGAAAATAAAGCAAGAGATTAAATTGGTAAAAGGACTTTCTGTTGACTTTTGCCAACATTTCTTGATTTGTTCTCTCTGGTATTTTCTTCGGATTTTCCTGGCAAGTTGGAGCTTTTTGAAGAGTGTGACTCGTTTGTTTTTGTGGATAATTCTCCGTGCAGCTTCGAGTTGTCGCATTTGTTTGATCACATTATCGTCTTTTCTCAATGTAATGGCTTTCTCTAACTGTCCGTGGAAATTTCGACTTTGTTGGTCTGCCTTCCTACTTTGTTGCTTTGACTTGGACATTATCTGGAAAAGAAATATTAGTTCATGTGAAAAAAAAAGCGAAAATGGTTTGATTGTAGCAAAAAAAAGTTTAATTTTGCTCTTTTTCTCTTTCGGGTTACGGTAATTTATCCGCAATATAGTGTGCCATAACTCAGAAACCACCTTTTTATTTTCTAAAGGTTATAACTTTTTATAGGGTTTATCAATTTTTATGTTTTTGGTATCAAAAGATACAGAAAGACCCGTAGAATAAAACTTGCGGTTTACATTTTTGTTTTAGGCTTTTGTTTCCAAAATTTTGCTCTGACAATAAAATACGGCTGAAATTTAACACAGTAAAATCACCAAAACTCGATTTTTAAAAAATTTGTCGAAGGGATTTCAAAAATTCTTTTATTTTCGGATTTAGCACATTTTTCTGCGTAAATCGGCTATTCAAACGTAAAAATCCTATAGAAAACGATTTTTTGCCCTATTTCGCGCGGATGTGCATCGCAATAGACGGTGATGAATATCCATATTTCTTTGCTTTCACGATCTTTTGCTTATCAGGAGTTGATAAATATTTGCGAGTTGGACATCTAAACATAAAAATATAATACAAAAAAATTTATGAGAACAAACAAAGGCAAAGAGAAAATACAAATTTTCTTAGTGAGACAGGACTTTTGCACCGCCTTTTTTTCTCAAGTTTTACGAAAAAAAAGGTTTTAAAAAACAACAAAATATTGGAGTACGGGCATTTACATAGTAAAAGATGAAGGGATAAGCTACTAAAAAAATCCGTTACTTAAAAAGTTGTTTTCGAAAAATTTTAGCATTTTGACAAAATGTTTCAGAAAAGTAAGTGGGGCAAGACTTTTGCACCACAGTGTATTACAGTATTTATGGTAGTTTTCATCAGGTTTTCATACAGTCATGGACAAAAGTCTTGGCGGCTCCTGGGTGGCAACTTTCTAACGCTAATTTATGAACCTTTCCGAGAGGCTATAAAAAGTTGTCACAAGTATTTTTGAGCATTTTTACTCTACTTTTAGCTATGACAAAGCATTGCAATCGAAAGTTTATTTTAAACAACAAAAATAAGCGTAAACAACAAAAAGGTCACAAAAAAATGGACAAGTCTTGGCTTTTCGAAAATTGACTTTTCGAAGATGAGTTCGGTTTTGGGAATAAAAAAGGCAAGGTTCTCTAGGTGAAAAATTGCAAATGGATAAAAGCAATGTTGATTTTAGTGTTCCAGAAATCAAGAGTGACTGTTTTTGAGAACAAAGTGCTGGTGTTAACTGCAAAAATTTAGAAACAAAACTCTAGTTTTCTCATCAATGAATGAGTGTCGTTCCATTGAACAGTGTGAATTTCAGTTCAAAGAAGAGAAAAAAAACGACCATTTATGTCAATAGAGTCAAAAGTTTCTTGGAGAATTCCATAACTGGGGTCGGCTGTGTCAATTCGAAAAAAGAAACGAATAGAGTTGCGAAAGAAAATAGAGACGATTTTGGAAGTGAAAGGGAATATTGAAAGAGATACATGAGTAAAACGGAATTTTTGTTATCAAAAAATAGTCTTGAATTTCAGCTATTTTTGGTACCTAAGCGGGCAATTGTAGCATAAACCAGTGTCGCTAAAAACCAAAGCTAGACTACGGAACACTCCGCACCGTCATTATGGGGATGGAGTACTATTACAGTATTTACGGTAGTTCTCATCAGGTTTTCATAACTGGTTGGGCAAACGTCTTTTAAAACTTATTCGAAGACTTGGACTCGAAGATTCGAAGACCTGCATAAAAAGCCCGCAAATTTCTTCTGAATGCCTTTTTATGTGTTTCCGCTATTATCCGCTTTCTTTGGACTACAACGAAGAAAAGTTTATTTTTAGAAGCATTGAAAGCTAAAGAATTCTTTTCACTTCATTGATCGGCGTCATTGCGTGAAGAATATAGAAATAGCGGACCTAAACATGAGGAAAAATTTCATTGCCGCTGTGAAAGTATACCAAATTGATCGCGGCGTCATCGTAGCAAAAATATACACCAGCCGCCTTTGCTTCAGCCTAAAAATCAGATAAACTTACAACTAAACACATAAACTTACATTATGAATGTGTAACGTATTGCCAATTTGTTCGAACGTTTGTCGTCGAATATGGGGCAAAAATCCGTGCCTTGTGGGCACAATTCTAAAGAAACAAGACAATAAGTACCTTATTTCTCTAATAAAAACAACAAACGCACCGATTTCCGGGCATGTAAGACGAATCAGAATTCCCTGATCCATCGAATTCTTTCGAGCTTGTATTGATCTCGGACTTTAGTGGTAAAAATTGCACGCCAAGTTTATAAAGTTTATAGTTTATAAAGTTTATATTAACCTTCATTGGAAGGCCATTCTCGCTACATTCAGCCACTTCGCCGCCTTGGAAACCACGATGGATATACCTAAAACGTTTTGATCTTCCCATTTGAATCGAGACCTCTAAAATTCCAACAGAACATTTTATTTAGATCCTATGGACGAAACTAACCGTTGACAAACTTTGCACGTGATAGAAATATGATCGCCAGGCCAGTAATAGATGTGTTTTACCTAAAGAAACCTTTATTGTTTATGCAAAGTTTATATTAACCTTCATTGGAAGGCCATTCTCGCTACATTCAGCCACTTCGGCGGCTTTGGAAACATGATGATTATACCTAAAACGAAAAATTATTAAATTTTGTAATTTAGCAGAAGTACAGGCATTGCTAGTTGTTATAGTACTACTGCATAAGCTTATTTTACGCTAAAAACTTAACTCAAACAAGTGACAAGCTGGAAATCCATGTATTCTTGAACCCACAAACCTCCATGATCGAAACGATGTGATCGATGTGATGTCGGGCCAATCAGGTTTTTCATCAAACCGCTAAAAATTAAACATAAACATTGAATTTCAAGTTATTCTATGTACCAAAAAACGACAATAAGTTACCCACCCCCATCGGAAATCCTTTCGAATTGATCAGATCATCTAATACATTGTCTCCCTCGCGAATCGCTGGTGTAGTAGTTGACTAAATTAGTACTATAGGCTTGTGGGGGGTGGGGGCACTTTCAAACCCAATGTTTTGAATGATTGTATTTTTCCTTTATTCTGAAAAAATCTAAGCCTGCTAAGCTAGTTCATACTATATTAAAGTATTCCCAGCATGTTTCAATTTTTATTTCCAAATGTGAGCAACGAGATAATGCTGGGTGGTGGGAGTGCAACAAGGTGGCAAATCATCGGATGGATGTATCCAAAAAGTGTTGAAACGGTTACCAATCGATTCAGCCCATTTAATTTCCCTAGAAGAAAGAAAATCAAATAGGCTGAATCAATTGGTCGAAAAGTAGAAACATTTCGAATGATTGTACCCCCCCCCCCAAGCCTATAGTACTAATTTAGCCAACTACTACACCAGTGCTTCGCGAGGGAGACAACGTATTAGATGATCTGATCAATCCGAAAGGAGATCCATGTTCCAAAGTTAAAAACGCATAAAAATATACCAATTTGGTCGTCTGATCACCGTCTTTTCTCGCGTTGACGAAAAGTCCTGCTCGAAACGACAAGAGAGTTGCTAACTAACACCCCTGAAAAAAAAAAACAAAACACCCCTGAAAATCTCGGTGCAAAAGTCTTTTCACACAAATTAAGCTTTAATCAATATTTAGTCGCTCCTCCTTTTGCCAAAAGTACTTCTTTAATACGAGTAGGCATCGATGCAATTAATTCATCAAGAATTCCAGGTCCAATCGTCCTCCAAATTTTTCTGATGTAAAACCATAGCTCGACTTTACAATTGAATCGTTTTCCTCGCAATTTTGATTTCAAATAAACCCATAAATTCTCAATAACATTTAAATAATGGTGGAGCCTTGATTAAAGAAACGTGATTGATTCTAAACCATCCCGGTAAATGTTCTTTTCCTCCATTCGAAAGAGTCACAACGTCAAAACGCCCATCAAAAGTTTGCTTTTGTGTACTGGCGAATTATCTTGATAAAGAAACCATCCTGGATTCATCAGGATTCAGCAGTCGCAAATGGAAGTAGACATCCGTCCAATATCTCAATATATTGGCGGGAATCCATTGTTGACTTTACGAGAACCAGCGGACCTGTTAAACTTTTACACATCGCACCTAAAGAAATCGTTTTGAGCTGTATAAAAAGAAAATTATCCTTACCGAAACACATAATTGATCCTCCGCCTTTTTTCACCGTGGGTTGCAAGTACTTGAGTTGATATCGCTTTCCAATTGGACGTCGGATCAGATGATTTCGATTTGAAGGAAAAATATCAACTTTGGTTTCATCAAAAAAAATCACTCGGGCCCAATCATTATCAGAATATTATCAGAATCTGTCGATCTAACTAAAATCTAGCTGACGACGAGATCTTGTGGGGGATTAGACTGTTGAGCCTCTGTGAAAACTTGAAAACCGTCAAATAGTCATCAGCTTAGGGAAAGTACGATAGCTGTTCTTGTCAAGCTTCTGTATGGCTTTATTCGCCATCACCGATTCTACAATTTCATTTCCACACTTGCCCTTCCCCAGCTTCTCCCATATCCCCTCCCTGAACACACAACTTATCCTTTTTCACGTCCTGCCTTTAATCCTCATAACACCGCTTCCTGCCAATCCTGTAGTTCAACATTTAATCTTTCTCCTCTGATTTCTGATTTCCGTCATCAACAAACACTCTTGGCTTTAGGGAATTTAGGACAAAAAGCTTTCTTCACAAATTTCAAATCTTTTGAAAAGATCACGTAGCAGTACTTTTTCCATCTATTATCATATTTTAATGACATCTTTGCATCTGAAAATCTTTTCAACTGTTATTGAACGTTATTCAAAATCAAATTTCAAGTCAAATCTGAATTCTGAAAAATAGAAAGTGATTATTTTTAGGCAAATTTTTTGGCTTTTGAATCAGTTGAAGAAGTTTTCGTTGTATCTTTGCATTTAAAAATCTTTTCAATTATCATTGAACGTGATTCAAGTTTCAATTCAGGTTTTCGTTGTATTGCATAACTAGGCCTCAAAAGCTGCCCAAGTTCTCCTTCAATTAAATGATCAGATTCTGATTTAAACGAAAAATTATCGATTCAGCTAATATGAGGGTGAAAAGAACCCGGAATTTCAACTCTATGTGCCTTTTACAAGTTAAGCAACGAATTTGAGCCGAATGATTCCCTGAACTTACTGTTGGCTGAAGTTTCCTAAAATTTTAACAATATCTCATTGCTTTACAGTGACTCTATTAATAATTTATTGGGTAAATAATCAGATTTTCAAATCAGTTTGAGCCTCAGTGTCTTGGCTGGTTTCTTCTTCATTGGCCTTTTTAAAGCATCGTTAGAGATTGTTTTGAATAGAGATCAGCATCAACGTTCTCTCCTGGATCAGCTAACTATAGTTTACCAAAGTTGAGTTTCACGAGCCACAGAATATTGTTTTCTTGTCATGATTCAAGTTTGGGAGTGGTTTGAGGGTTGATCGGCATTGGTTCTTACTTTTGACATTCTTTTAATTCCATCAAATATCAAAATCGCATCCTAAAACCTGCAACTTATGGAGGGAAAAAGAACTGACGTTGACTGGAATTGTTTTGTTATTAGCTTCGTAAATATGAAAGGTTATTTTTTACAAAAAATATTGCCCTGTCGTTACGAAGAACATTCGCTGTCTAGGATTTTTCTCAATAATATATCAAAATGTGCTCATGTTTTTTTTGCAAAAACTTTTTTGGCTTTGAATAATATTTGTATTGTTTCAGCTCGACAAAGATGGATGACCAAAAATCTAAAATCAGGGCTGCCATATTCTTTGAATTCAAGTTAAACAAGAAAGCTACGGAATGCCATCAGAACATTTGTACTGTTTTTGGAGAAGCTGCTCTTCCTGCGTTTGGTACGTTCGCTTCAAAGCGGGAAACGAGTCATTGGAAGATGCACCACATGGAAAGCCACCGATCACTTTGGACGATCAGCTGTTACTGAACGAGGTCGACTTGGATCCATCGCAAAAGTGTAGAAAATTAGCAGAAAAGTTCGGATGCACTCATGTTAACATTGAAAACCATTTACACGTTCTTGGGAAATCATATCGAAGCGGGAAATGGCTCCCCCACGACCTCACTGATGCCCACAAAGCCATACGAGTCACCCTGAGCGCTTTTCTTCTCACCATCGTGACTTTTGGAAGTATTTTTTGACATCTGAGACTTGGAAACTTGGCTTCCGTATGAAAATATTCAACTCCATGGGCAGTGGCTGAGTTCGAAGCAGACCCTCATTCAATCCCGAAGCCTCCGATACACGCGAAGAAGGTTATGCTCTGTGTGTGGTGGAATACTAAGGGATTGGTTTTTGGCGAGACTGTTGATGGAAGACTTTATGCAGCTTTAGTATAAACCAGTCTGTAAGCACAGCTTCATTTCTTCTTTCCATTTGTGTACTTTGTGCTCGCAAATGCACCCTTTCTGGTGCATTCAAATGCCAGTCTTGAGTGTTCTCTAGGGCTACGCATAAACGCTCATCTTTTGGTACACTAATGTCGAGTACGCATTTCCTTGTCATCCCCAATCTCTTCCACTAATCATTTATATGAACCATGCAAAATCTGAAGTCTAGAAATTCTCTCATCCCCAATTTAGTTTCTCCAAAGCTTCTTTAGTCAGCTCATTTGCACTCCGCGATGCTATTTTTTTCAAAATTACAGTAATCCGTCACTGAAAATTGAAATGCGTGCAAGGAAGATGAGTTTAAGAAAGTTTTAAGAATTCGGCTTACCGTATCCCCGATTGTTTGAGCGTTTCATTAATTGGATAATTAGTGAACTCAGCAATCTTTGTGCAATAATCAAGACCTTTATCAAGGGCTTCAATTTAATTGTAAGTTGGATTGTTAGAAAAATCTAAAGACATTTAGATGAATGACTGTCGTTCCACATTGAACAGTGGTGAATCCAGTTCAAAGAGAAAAAAACGACCATTTATGTCAATACAGTCAAAATCAGGTCATAAAAGCAGTGAATGACTACTTCGCCTCACAAGCTCCCAAGTTCTTTGAGGATGGGACCCGGGATTTGCGCAGAAGATGGGAATAAGTCATAGATACTAATGGAGAATACCTTTCGAATTGAAAGCTCTTCTTTTGTTTTTTTGAAAAAAATTATCTGTTACATAAGCGCGTCATTATTAAGTTGCCAACCTAATATTACAGTATTTACGGTAGTTTTCATCAGGTTTTCATAACTGGCTGGGCAAACGTCTTTTAAAACTTCTGCGAAGACTTGGGTACTTTTTCAATATCGGGGGAGCGGTCCGATTATCGCGGGAGCGGAAAGATTATCGGGGGAGCGAAAGGAAAATAGGGGGAGCAAATTTTGCCCCCTCGAAAAATGCATTTCCGGGACTGTATTTTAACTGCAACGTTTTTTTTTAACTTTAACGACGATGCGCTTCTCCGATATTTGTGCGTTCAAGAAATCGACGGCAATCGATTATTTCGTCACCAAAGGAGTCATCCAGTGGTGGATTTGCAACTGTGACGAATCGATGAAAGTCCGCTCAAAGGGAAAAGATCGATTTCGCTGGATATGTGACACTTGCGCACGGCGAAAGGTCCCCAAGCATTCAAGAGGAATTCGAGTCGATAACTTTTTGCAACAAAGCAAGCTCCGGTTCGTCAAAATTTTAAATAGGACATATGTAGCGCTGCCAAAACTTGCCCCCCCCGATTTTCCTTTCTTTGCCCTGATAATCGGACCACTCCCGGGATATTATTGGAAAAGAACCACGACTTTGACTAGAAGATTCGAAGGCTCGCATAAAGTACCCCGCAAATTTCTTCTGAATGCCTTTTTATGTATTTCCGCTATTATCCGCTTTCTTTTGACTACAACGAAGAAAAGTTTATTTTTAGAAGCATTGAAAGTTAAAGAATTCTTACAGTTGATTGAATACGATTCCATTCAAAATTTAAATTTGTTTAAATTTCAGCAATTCGGTACTCCCGGGGAATTATTTATCGAGGGGGGGTTCAGCTTTCAAACCCAATGTTTTGAATGATTGTATTTCTCCTTTATTCTGAAAAAGCCTCTGCTTCCGTTTTCAGTTCATACTATTTTAAGAGTATCCCCAGCATGTTTCTATTTCTATTTGATGTCCAAATGTGAGCAACGAGATAATGCCAATATGTAATAGATGTATCCAAAAGGTGCGGAAACAGCTACCAATTGATTCATCCCATTTGGATTTCCTAAAAGAAAGAAAATTGTCCGTACAGTCATTCGAAATGTTTCTACTTTTCGACTCATCGATTCATCCTATTTGATTTTTTAAAAGAAAGAAAATTGCCAGAACAATCATTCGAAATGTTTAACGGATTGTGCTGGCAATTCCTTCTTTCTTCTAGGGGAAATCAAATGGGCTGAATCAATTGGTAATCCTTCAACACTTTTCGGACACTATCTGATGATTGGCCAACTTGTGCACTCCTACCACCCAGCATATCCGTGCCACATTTGGAAATAGAAATGAAACAAGCTGGGAATACTAATAAAGAAGAACGAGCTTAGCAGGCTTAGAGATTTCCGAATAAAGGGAAAAGGCTTTTGGTTTGAAAGTGCCCCCCCCACAAGCCTATAGTACTACACTTAGCCAACTACTACACCAGCGATTCGCGAGGGTTATAATGTATTAGATGATTTGACTAATCCGAAAGGATTTCCGCGCTAGTGCGGAGCTTTGTTGTCGCCCTTTGGTACGTAGAATGATCGAAATTCAATGTTTATATTTAATTTTAGCTTCTGTGGCCTGATGGAAATCCGTGCCTGACAGGTGCACATCGTTCTTGATTATGGAGGTTCAAGGGTTGAAGAAATACCGTATTTACTCGAAATAGAAGACCGGCGTCGATTATAAGACGACGGGGTCTAGGGGGATGATCTCTAGTCACGCACACTGTCTTAGGATTCGAGGTACTCCTGTTTTCTATTCTGCTCGAAAGTGGACGTACCAAATACGGAAAAAGAATAAGGGAATTTACCCAATAGGTAAAAAATATTATATTTTCATTCAATAGCAATTTATTTTTTTGTATTTTTCACATCTTGTATTTTTATAAAAATTTCCTTCATACTTCAGTTATCTTCACATTTCCGTTATACCCCCACCGTTTTGACTCTGATTATTTTAATTATTTGATTTAATCGGATCATTTTTTATCTAAAAAATAACATAGTATAATGGGAAATGTGAAGTTATGGAGTGTATAACGAAAAAGTAACATTTTTGTAAGGACGGGAGAAAGCGCTGGCGAAACTGTGTGTCGGCAGTGCCGCCTTTAAACTCTCGAGGCCATTCTTTTTTCAAAGAAAACTCGAAAGAGGCGGCTGCTCGACAGTTTAATGTGACTCCAAAGATGATTCGAGACTGGACGGCAAAAGAGGAGTCGCTGCAAAAGGAATCGAAAGGAGCGAAGCGGTTAAATGGAGGAGGACGAATGCTTAAATTTCGCGCAGTCGAGGAGGCCACTTATCGATGGATCAAAGAAAAACGAGAGAAAAAGCTAAAACTTTCTCGACGTATGGTTCAGGACAAAGCCAAGGAGGCTTTTTCGCGTATCGAACCTAGATTTCACTAAGCCCTTTCTCTGGTAAGCTGGCTTGCCAATTTTTTTTGAGACGGTGTACAGACAACAAGGGATTCAACAGCGAGGATGATCAGATTGTTTGTTTCCCGCAAAGGGGAAGCTTTGGAGAGGGTCGATTCGAGCTGGATATCGTGGCATTGGAGGGAGAAGATTAGGGCAAAACTCTTTGTCAAGATATCGACTCCGACAAGGACAGAAACATGGGATATGAGAGTGAAAACGATTCAATTTCGAGCGCAGAGGGACTTGATGGAATTTTGCAACATCCGGATTTAATAGAGGATGACATTGAATCAAGTGGGAATGAAGAATAATGTTGGTACTACTGCTTTTTTATGTTCTTATTAATTGTTGTTACCGTTGGTATTGTAAGGTTGTTGTTTTCGGGTTATATATTTTTGTTAAGAAAAATTTGTTGTAAATGTTACAATAGATTGCTATAAAAGTTTTTTTTTAAACGCTGGTTACTTCCTGAAAAATTTTCGTGAATGCGAATAATAAAAGACCGTGTTGAATAGACGACCGGCCTCGAATAGAAGACGGGGTCTAGAGGGGGTGATTGAAAAAAATAGAAGATCGGTCTTCTATTCGAGTAAATACGGTAAATGGATTTGCAGCTTGTTGCTTGTTTGAGTTAAGTGTTTTTAGCGTAAATAGCTTATGCAGTAATGGTAAACAATTAGCAATGCCTTTATTTCTGCTAAATTGCTATAAAATTTAATAATTTTCGTTTTAGGTATAACTACCATGTTTCCAAAGCTGCCGAAGTGGCTGAATGTAGCGAGAATGGCCTTCCAATGAAGGTTAATATAAACTTTGCATAAACAATAAAGGTTTCTTTAGGTAAAACACATCTATTACTGGCCTGGCGATCATATTTCTATCACGTGCAAAGTTTGTCAACGGTTAGTTTCGTCCATAGGATCTAAATAAAATGTTCTGTTGGAGTTTTAGAGTGTCTCGATTCAAATGGGAAGATCAAAAAGTGTGGCCGGGCCGCAAAAAGTAGACGACTTTTTCGATCATTACCGGAAGAATGAGGTACAATTCTTTTCGATTTTCTGCTATTGTTGTCACATTTAGAAGTTGCAACACGCGGATGTTGGCGTGCAATTTTTACCACTCAAGTTCGAGATCAATACAGGATCGAAAGAATTCGATGGAGCAGGGGCTTCTGATCCGTCTTACATGCCCGGAAATCGGTGCGCTTGTTGTTTTTGTTAAAAAATAAGGTACTTATTGTCTTGTTTGTTTAGAAAAATTTGTTTCTTTAGAATTCAGGCCACGGAGCCTGGATCTTTCCCCCATATCCGACGACAAACGTTCGAACAAATTGGCAATACGTTACACATTCATAATGTAAGTTTATGTGTTTAGTTGTAAGTTTGTCTGATTTTTTAGGCTGAAGCAAGGGCGGCTGGTGTGTATTTTTGCTACGATGACACCGCGATCAATTTGGTATACTTTCACAGCGGCAATGAAATTTTTCCTCATGTTTAGGTCCGCTATTTCTATATTCTTCACGCAATGACGCCGATCAATCAAGTGAAAAGAATTCCTTTAGCTTCTGGACGCTTCTAAAAATAAACTTTTCTTCGTTGTAGTCCAAAGAAAGCGGATAATAGCGGAAACACATAAAAAGGTATTCAGAAGAAATTTGCGGGCTCTTTATGCAGGTCTTCGAATCTTCGAGTCCAACTCTTCGAATAAGTTTTAAAGGACGTTTGCCCAACCAGTTATGAAAACCTGATGAAAACTACCGTAAATACTGTAATATTAGATCGGCAACTTAATAATGACGCGTTTATGTAACAAATAATATTTTTCAAAAAAACAAAAGAAGAGCTTTCAATTCGAAAGGTATTCTTCATTAGTATCGATGACTTCGTCCCATCTTCTGCGCAAATCCTGGATACCATCCTCGAAGAACCTGGGAGTTTGTGAGGCGAAGTAGTCATTCACTGCTTTTATGACCTGATTTTGACTGTATTGACATAAATGGTCGTTTTTTTCTCTTCTTTGAACTGAAATTCACACTGTTCAATGGAACGGCAGTCATTCATCTAAATATCTTTAGTTTTTTCTAACAATCCAACTTACAATTAAATTGAAGTCCTTGATAAAGGTCATTCGGATCGAACAATGCCGTCGTTAGTTGTAATAAAATCAATAAATATGGAAAATTAAGTAAGCTCATTCGGAAATATTAGACATTAAGAAAGAAAAGTAAAAACGAAACATCAACTTGAACTCAATTTTATCAATTGCACTGACGCATTAAATGTTTCGCAAAAATTCGAATTTAAAGAACTGAAATTTGAGAAGCTGTTGCATACCCGTGAATTCTCGGCTTTAGAAATTGACTTTTCGAAGATGAGTTCGGTTTTGGGAAAGAAAAATGGAAGGTTCTCTAAGTGAAAAATTGCAAAGGGATAAAAGCAATGTTGATTTTAGTGTTCCAGAAATCAAGAGTTACTGTTTTTGAGCACAAAGCATTTAAAAACAAAACTCTAGTTTTCTCATCAATGAATGACTGCCGTTCCATTGAACAGTGTGAATTTCAGTTCAAAGAAGAGAAAAAAACGACCATTTATGTCAATACAGTCAAAATCAGGTCATAAAAGCAGTGAATGACTACTTCGCCTCACAAACTCCCAGGTTCTTCGAGGATGGTATCCAGGATTTGCGCAGAAGATGGGACGAAGTCATCGATACTAATGAAGAATACCTTTCGAATTGAAAGCTCTTCTTTTGTTTTTTGGAAAAATATTATATTTGTTACATAAACGCGTCATTATTAAGTTGCCGATCTAATATTACAGTATTTACGGTAGTTTTCATCAGGTTTTCATAACTGGTTGGGCAAACGTCTTTTAAAACTTATTCGAAGAGTTGGACTCGAAGATTCGAAGACCTGCATAAAGAGCCCGCAAATTTCTTCTGAATACCTTTTTATGTGTTTCCGCTATTATCCGCTTTCTTTGGACTACAACGAAGAAAAGTTTATTTTTAGAAGCATTGAAAGCTAAAGAATTCTTACAGTTGATTGAGACGTTTGCATCCAAAATTTACATTTGTTTAAATTTCACAATCCAAAAATTTTTTTAAATTTATTTTATCATGATGCCCGTTCAGCGCCTCAACTCTCTTTTTGTATTGGTACTTTTTAATGTTTTTTTTTGTAAAATAAACTTCATTATCTTTTTAAACTTTTCGTGTTTTAGTTGGCAAACTCTCTCGTCGTTTCGGAGCAGGACTTTCGTCAACGCGAGAAAAGACAGTAATCGGACGACGAAATTGGTATATTTTTCTTGCGTTTTTAACCTTGGAATATGGATCTCCTTCGTATTGATCGGATCATCTAAACATTGTCTCCCTCGTGAATCGCTGGTGTAGTAGTTACTAAATAGTACTATAGGCTTGGGGGGGGGCACCTTTCAAACCTGAGCCTTTTCCTTTATTCTGGTGTATCCAAGCCTGCTAAGTTAGTTCATACTTGCTTAGGAGTATCCCTACTGTTTCTATTTCTATTTGATGTCCAAATGTGAGCAACGAGATAATGCTGAGATAATAGATCTATCCAAACGCTGTTGAAACGGTTACCAATCGATTCAGCCTATTTGATTTCTTTCTTCTAGGGAAATCAAATGGACTGAATCAATTGGTAATCGTTTCAACACCTTTTGGATACATCTATTCGATGATTTGCCAACTTGTTGCACTCCCCACCACCCAGCATTATCTCGTTGCTCACTTTTGGAAATCAAATAGAAATAGAAATAGAAATAGAAATTGAAACATGCTGGGAATACTCTTAACATAGTATGCACTAGCTTAGCAGGCTTAGATTTTTTTTCAGAATAAAGGAGAAATACAATCATTCAAAATATTGGGTTTGAAAGTGCCCCCCTCCCCCCACAAGCCTATAGTACTAATTTAGCCAACTACTACACCAGCGATTCGCGAGGGAGACAATGTATTAGATGATCTGATCAATCCGAAAGGATTTCCGTTTGGGGTGTAGCTTATTGTCGTTTTTTGGTACGTAGAATAACTTGAAATTGAATGTTTATGTTTAATTTCTAGCTTCCTTTGCTTTAGAATTCTTTCCCTTTCCCGTATACCGACAAGGACAGATCGTTTCGATTATGGAGGTTTGTGGGTTCAAGAAATTAAAGGATTTTCAGCTTGTTACTTGTTTGAGTGAAGTTTTTAGCGTAAAATAGACTTTTGCAGTAGTACTATAACAATTAGCAATGCCTTTACTTCTGCTAAATTACAAAATTTAATAATTTTGCGTTTTAGGTATAATCATCATGTTTCCAAAGCCGCCGAAGTGGCTGGAATGTAGCGAGAATGGGCCTTCCAATGAAGGTTACATATAAACCTGGCATAAACAATAAAGGTTTCCTTTAGGTAAAACACATCTACTTACTGGCCTGGCGATCATATTTCTATCACGTGCAAAGTTTGTCAACGGTTAGTTTCGTCCATAGGATCTAAATAAAATGTTCTGTTGGAATTTTAGAGGTCTCGATTCAAATGGGAAGATCAAAACGTGGGGTTGGGCCGCAAAAGTATACGACTTTTTCGATCATTACCAGAAGAATGAGGTACAATTCTTTCGATGTTCTGCTATGGCTGGGTACATTTAGAAGTTGCAACACGCGGATGTTCGTGTGCAATTTTTACCATTCAAGCTCCAGTTCCATACAAGATCGGGCCAATTCGAGGGATCAGGGGATTCTGAACCGTCTTACATGCCCGGAAATCGGTACGTTTGTGGTTTTTGTTAAAAAATAAGGTACTTATTGTCTTGTTTGTTTAGAAAAATTTGTTTCTTTAGAATTCAGGCCACAGAGAACGGATCTTTGCCCCATATCCGACCACAAACGTTCGAATATATTGGCAATACGTTGCACTTTCATAATGTAAGTTTATGTGTAGTTTAGTTGTAAGTTTATCTGATTTTTTTTAGGCACAAGCAAGGGCGGCTGGTGTGTATTTTTGCTACGAGGACACCGCGATCAATTTGGTATACTTTCACGGCGGCAATTAAATTTTTCCCCATGTTTAGGTCCGCTATTTCTATATTCTCCACGCGATGACGCCAATCAATCGAGTGAATTGGATGGATGATGCTAATTTAAAGAATCGTCTTCAGCTGAGTCCGGATATGGGTCAGTTTTAACAATTCTTTCTAAACTTGCAGATTTTAGGCAAAATGGTCTGTGAATCGCCAGACGAAAAGGCTTTCTTGAAGCCTCCATATAAATGTGAAAATGACTGCGGGAAACTGACGCAGGGAGTGATTAAGGATAATAAAGTAAATTTTATGGAAGTAAGTGCTAGTTTTTCCATTCAACGACACTAAATTAACATTTAGATGTACCCGGATACTCAATGGAAATTCAACTGGCGTCCCATCATCTATAAACCCGAAAATGAGCCTATCTGTGATAAGGGTGATCTTAAATGCGAACAGCTATCTGGTAATCCATATCTTTTCTCGGCATTCAAGGTAACTCTAGAAACCTCACCTAAACACCGATGACCCTAGCGATACGAAAAGTGCCGGAGACTGCGATACATCTGCATGTTTTTAAACGATCGATCACGATGCTAGTTTTTTTCAAATTTCAATGAAAATAGCTAATTAAATGCCTTAAATTCTACATTTTTAGAATTAATATTTACGTTTTAGAGACCATTCTACACGGATGGGTGTTGGCTTTCGATGGGAGTCGTGGAGTGGATGCGATCTCGGGAAGAACACATCAACGCCGAGAGGGCGGGGGTGTTTCGATGAATTTTAAAAGTTTGAAAACCAATGAGGACACTGTGTTTTGCAGCTCAGTCGATGGTAAAAGAAAAACGAACTCGGAAAATACCATACGAAAGCAACGAGGTACGCTCTACTGATGTTATACGGTGACTTTAAAAAAGTAGCTTAGGTGGATGTCTCGATTGGATAGCATTTTCAGGCTTTCTAAAGGAAAGAATACGATATACTGTGAGACTGGACAGGTGAGAGCTGCTTGCGAAAATTCATACACGAAAGGAGCTCAATTGGGTTTTAGTTCAACCTTTGATGACGATGACTATGGATCAACCAGTGACCTCTGACTGTGGGGCAAGATAAAGACCGAAGAGAGTGTTCAAAAGATTGACGAGTTTTATGGGACAGGTTTGTTTTACCTACCTGAATGCTAGCCTGTTCATAAGTCCCTGACCGAGCCTTGGTCCCAATTTTTCTTTTGGAAATCTTTCCGTCGCTGGATAACCCGGGAGAACAATCTCAACCGAAAGAAATTCACACTGAACAACGAGTGGAGGACCTTTGTCTTAAGTGAGAATTTGAGATTACTTTAACTTTAATTACCATTGAGCTTGTTTTTGGAATTGAACTTATGATAAAATAAGAGATAATGGAGCTGTTAAAAAAATGTCTTTTAGATACAACACTCGGGAGAAAATGTGGGAAGTGATGGATCGTGGTCCGGATATTGTTGGTACCCTAGTGATCGAAACAAAGGAGTGTCCTTAAGCTGTATTTAAAATGATAAAATGATTACTGTATATTAATGTTTCTCCAAAGAATCATGAAATTCTGTCTTTTGTTTTCTTTGTTTTTGGTAGTCAACAAAAAGTCTCTGTACACGTTCTGGAACAATTGCTTTATTTAATGCGATATTTCCTGTGATCAACTAGTGTTTTGTTCGGCAATGGCGGTTGTAGGCTGGGATTTTTACCGGTAGAAAATTATGGCAAAAGTAGAAATCGAAAAGAAAACATTTCTAAAAGAATCTATTTTGGACTTGCACAAAGGGCGAGCCGACGACGCTGCTCGGTCCACTGAAATTTGAGTTTAAAGTTTGAATCTAGGATGTCACAGTACCCTAAAGCTTGTTCACTCACCTTTCCACTTTGTACATCATACTTGTAGGATGGTCGAATCACAATGATATGCACGAGGGGTAAGTTTAACGGGAATGAAGCGGACAGTCCAAATAGGGCAACCCCATCAACGGCCGATCGTAGAAATAACCGAGAATACAGCGCAAGATTGCTTGATGCCCAACCACCAGCAAATCGGTCTGAAAACGCAAATTTGCGTTTTTTTTTTTCTCTTTTTATAATACTTGGCTTTCCAACTCCATGATCACCGGCTTCCAACTGGAGACCACTCTCGTAACTCTCACCCGATGGATACCGATAGTGGTACCTGTCATCGGTCTCGATCTTCAGACTGTCTTGGATATCCGAAAGGGAGGAGCTGGTTAGGAGCTATGATATTCACTCGACCGTTGTTCTATATCTGCATAGGTGAGTCCCCCGCAAATCCCCGCGTCGATCTCATCCAAAGCTTTCCAGTACTCAATGTGTGCCGCTGCTGAGGCCACCTCGCGAGCTGTTTGCGCCGCTCGAATCTGTAGCTTTCTCATAGCCAGTTCCCCATTCCCCCAGTAAACTACCTTTTGACTACTCCAAATCCCTCAAATCGGGGAATCTTCTAATGCGGTAGCCAACTTACGGTAGCCGGCTTAGAATAGCTTACGGTAGCTTTTGAAGGTGCTACGTTTTAAAAAACCACACTGTACATAGGAACACTTAAAAGTTAGCAAGCATTTGATACTGTACTCCCTGCAAAAGTTGCTTTGATATTTGATACTCTCAGCAGAAGTTATCCAACTTTTAGAAACCTCAAAACCAAAGAGATCAATTCTTTTTGTACAGAGATTTAGAAAATTTGAGTACAGGTATAAATCGGCCGAAATAAACATTTTCCAAGAGCAGAAATTATTTTTTGACTCGGATTCAATTAGCATTTGATCAAAGGCATTTTTGATCAAAGGGATCAATGGGATCAAAGGGACCAAGGGCACTCCAAAATCTACCTGCTAAAACGATTTCCGTTGCCATTCCAGAAATCACAATTCTAAAGATTACAGAAATGAATGGGTTTTTTCGAAAACAAAACGACCTCTCCCTTTGTTCAATTTCCCAAAAAGTTGAATGAATTTAAAAACTTTTTTATTTCAAAATCTAGAGGGGATCTTCAGCTTTCGAATAATATATAACACTCATATAAATCTCTTCGATATCTTGAGAAATTTACAAAATATTATAACACGCGCATTCATAACTGGACAACCCAATAAAACAATTTCAAATTTTACAACAAAATCTACCTGCTAAAACGATTTCCCTTGCCATTCCAGAAATTACAATTCTAAAGATTACAGAAATGATCTAAAAGATTGAGATAAAGCTTAACTCACAAACAAAATTGATCTTCAGGCACTTCTAGCTCAGACACAAAATCATCAGTTGATAAAGAAATGATCGAATTTGGTGACAATCTCATTTCTTTATAAGAACATGGAGAAATCATAGAATATAGAAAAGAACAATGAAATATTGGGGAAATTAAATTTTACCTCTTTGAGGCTAAGAAGGAGGGAGCTAAAAGAGGTGTCTTTTTGGGAATGGGCGAAAGGGAGAGGAATTCTCTGAATTGGCTGTCTCTTCTCAGCTTATACATCCAAAATGGGAAAAGGAAAAGGCTTCAAAAAGTTGTTTGCAAGAAAGGAAATGTGTTGGGATTAGGTATCTAGATATGGAAGTAAAATATGACTGAAATTGTCCTTGGCCAAAAGTAATCCGCTTACTGTTTCAACCTTTGTGCATTCGGAAAGGCGCACTCTTTTTAGCACAATCAATGTTTTACCGTACCAATAATTCAGCTAATGGCTTACTAAACTGGCCGGTGTGCCAGCAGAGACGCGTTTGCTAGGGTTTAAAGTACAAGAAAGTTCATTGTTGCTGTTGAAGTTGAAAGTTGTTGAAGTTTTTATGAATTTGGTGATTTTTTATTCACAATCAACAATGGTAGACTTTAAACAGAGTCCAATAACCTAATAATTCAATCCGTTGATTCTACTAACAAAAAAGTCCCATTCGACAAATCCCTCAAAAAAAAGGCCATGATTTCTCAATAATTCCACCTGTCAAGCTTCAATCACCTTTTTCTGATAGAATATCTCATTTCCTTTTCAATATGAGCTTTAATATCACTCAACCGATTGCTTACGAAACACCAACATTCTACATCACTTTTATGGCAGTTTTTGGAGTTTTTGGCGGTATTGTGAACTTGTCAACTCTTTACGTGATCATCGTTGCAACGCCGACGAATATGAAAGGATATAAGCTGCATTTGATGTGGCATGAGGTATAAAGCTTGGGTTGAGGCTTTAGATCAATACTATCAAATATTGATCAAAGACTTGAGTTTGATTGCTTGTCAAGGCTTTGATAGGCCGGTACAACTCTATAAAAAGCTTATAGCAATGTCAAAAGTTGAACAGGATTGGGATTGAAAAAGATTTACAAAGAACTCAAGCTTTTGAAACATATCAGTCACAACATTCAGTACAATTGTCTCAGATGAACTCGAGTCAATCTTATCAACGAATTCAGATCTTATCTATCATTTTCGAACTTCTCCTTCACACAGCCATTCCGGAGGTGTTTTTCCCAACAATATCTTGCAAATTGCATGGTCCTCTTTGGACAATCGTCGGTCTTCCATTCAAGCGATTCTTTGTTTGTTTTAAATACTTAAAGTAAATGTATACTACCCTAAATAGTTTTATTATAACTAATGAATATAACTGAATAACTGACTAGTGAATATGTATAAATACACAAATAAACCTTGTAATTTTAGGAAATTAGTGCAATTTGTCTAATCATTCTCGTCATGGCTACTATTCAATGTGTCATTTATCGACATCGACAAGTTTTAGCCGCAAAACATTGGTTAAAGTTTGTTTAGTGCTCCAAATGATCTGTGTTTTCCAATTTTTGAGCAAAAAAACATAAAATTCTTGAGATTTCGCAAATCTATTTGGATTTTTATCGGTCTCCTTCATTACATTCTATGGCCATTATTCGCTTTCTATTGCGTAGAGATTATGTCAACGAATTTACCTCCAACAAATGCTCAACAATAGTGGATGTAGGTGATTTGTGATCTCCACCATTTATCAATCTAGACGTTGCCTGAATATTCTTTTTAAAGAATGACTCAAAACATTTGGATAGTTATCCCGGAGCCACTTAGCCCCACCAATCATCAATCTGACGTCGGAGAAAGTGGGATTATTGTGATTATTTTAGTTCTAGCACCCGAGGCTTTGATTTTGGTGAGTTGAAGATGTTGATGGCTCATCGGGCAATTGGGAATCTTTAACTTTAAAGTATTGGCTAAGTATGCTAACTATTTGACCTAGTGCTTTCAAATGAAAGTCAAGTAATTTGACTGAAGGCTTGACTTTTAAGCTGCACAATGGTTTAACAGCTTCTAGAATTTCTCTCAAAAATCAAAATTAAGATAATCTTGGGGCAAAAATTGTCCCAGGAATTTGGGCATATTAATGGGCCAAAACCGGCTTGCTCCGGGAGCTGATCAAAACAGCGCCACAGCAAAAGTAGCCCCTCCGCGGTTAAGTTTCCATGCGCTTCTTGATTATTATTAGATGTAGAATAAAATTATCTACTATTGCATACTTTGGGACCACTTAAAACAGAATTGGCGCCGAGGAAACCTCAGTTAGCCTCTTTTTGAACCCTTTTTGGTATTTTTTCATCGCTGTTTCGATCAGCTCCCTCGGTCCCTCAC